CTAGGTATCAGTGTAATAGAAATATACTTTTTAAATATTGGTCATGTTTAAATGTTTCAAAAATTCACCTATTTCTAGTGATAGCTTTTTTAATACATTGAACAGAATTATCTACATAGATGATCATGTCATATGTAAATAAAAACTGTTTTACTTTCTCCTTTCCAATCTTTTTTTTTTTCTTTTTTATCTTTCCTTATTAAAATGGCTAGAACCTCAAGTATAATATTGAGTAGAGGTGCCCAGAGCAGATACCCTTCCCATGTTCCTGATCTCAGGAGGAAAGCATTTTCCTTTCACCATTAAGTATGTTAGCTGTGGGTTTTTAGTAGATCCCCTGTAACAGAATGAAGAAATTACCCTTTATTCCTAGCTTGCTGAGAGTTTTTATCATGAATGTATGTTGAATTTTGTCAAATACTTCTTTTACATCTATTAAGATGATCATGTGGTTCTTTTTTAGCTTGTCAATGTGATGGATTACTTTGATTTTCAAATGTTAAACCAGCCTACATTTCTGAGATAAAACCTAATTGGTCATGATGTATTATTCTTTGGATATGTTCTTGAATTAGATTTGCTAAAATTGTTAAGAATTTTTGCACTTATGTTCAAGAGGAATATTTGTCTGAAATTTTCTTTTCTTGTAATGTCCTTGGCTGGTTTTTATATCAGAGTAATGCTTTCCACATAGAGTAAGTTGTAAAGAATTCCCACCTTCAATTTTCTGGAAAAGTCTTATAGAATTGATATTCTTTGTTCCTTTAATATTTAGTAAAATTCATGCTGTAGCCATCTCACCCTGGAATTTTTCTTTGTGGTAAGGTTTTTAACAGCAAAGTCATATAGGGTGAATCAGTTTATCTATTTATTAATATTGTTGAGTGAGCTTGATAGTTTTTGTCTGTGTTGTAAAATTTTTTAACTTAATGTTTTCCTGATACCTCAACATCTCCACAGGCTATGAGCACCCTGCCCAAAAACCAGGTATACCAATGTGATAAGGCTAGTTCCTGCCACAAGTACCCCTTCTTGCCCTACCCTGATTGTGACCTAGTAACATTCAAAAGCACCAATGAAATCTCCTCACATCTTTAGCTTGTGTACTCTGCTCTAACCCCAGTAAAGGCTCTCCTTCAGGGTCCTCAACTCTCTCTCAGCTCTCCACCTACTTGACTGAGCCTGCTCCCCTGGCTTTCACTCCTCCCAAATAGCCCCGTGTGGCTTGTCATCCCTCCTTTCTCTAGGACCTATGAGTATAATCCTTTAATTTCATATGCTTCTCTGTAATTTCCACTGCCATGTTGGAATGATCCTTGATCTCACAAGGGGGACTGACTTCCATGTTTACAACACAGTGTTTTTCAAGGAATTTGTCCATCTCATCTAAATTGTTAAAATAATTGGCATAAATCTGTTTATAATATTCCCTTAGTATCCTTTTAATATCTGTAGAACCTATAGTAATGTCACCACTCTCATTCCTAAAATGGGTAATCTGGTCTTTCTCTCTCTTGCTCTCTCTCGCTGAATAGTCAGGCTACAGGTTTATCAATTTTATTGGTTTTCTCAAAAAAAAACAGCTTTGGTTTTGTTGATTTCTTCTGTTGCTTTGCTATTTCAATTTATGCTCTGGTCTTTATTTTCCTTTTTCCATTTATTTTAGTTTTCACTTACTCTTGTTTTTCTAGTTCTTTAAGGTAAAGGCTGGGGTCACTGATTTGAAATCTTCTTTACTGATATAGGCATTTGGTGCTGTAAATTTCTGAGTACTGCTTTAATTGCATCTCACAAATATTGTGTTTTCATTGTCATTCAATTAAATATACTTTTATCCCCTTTTTTTTTCTTTGAACTATGAAATATTTGCATGTATTATATACTTTTCAAATATTTGGAGATTTTGAGATATCTTACTGAAATTTAATTCCATTGTGGTCAGGGGATATACTTTATGATCTGAATCATTTTAAAAGTATTGAGATTTGTCTTATGACCTAAAATATGGTGAATCTTAGTAAACATTCCATTTGTACTAATAAAAATAATATGTATTCTCATTATTGGTTTGAGTGTTCTATAAATGTCAATTAGTTCAAGTTGATTAATAGTGTGGTTCAAGTCTTCTACATAACCTATTGGTCAAAGAAGGCCCCTAGGTCACTAACTCTGTCCTACAGCATCTAAGAAGGCATGGGGCAAGAAGCAAAAGCTATCAGTATAGGTCCAAGGGTTCTGCCAGCTTCAGAGTGTATCTATCCCAATTATATATACTTAGGGACTATAGAAATAAAGCATGAGACAGGACCCATTTTACCTACTGTGAGATGGCCTTTGGCCAGGACTCCATTTATCACTGGGCTTCCATAAAACCTTACTCTAACAAGTGACCCATGATGGTCTTTTGGGTACTTTGGGATCCATGTTAGCTCAGACACTGTATCCAACAGTCTTTCGTTGAAAAATCTGAGTATTCCAATTTATCCACTGCATAGTTGCCCTGGTAAATGATGGTATATGACTGCCCCTTTGAGGAAGAATTAGGGGGATATTTATCAAATATATATAAGGATCCTTACTCAAAGGGATCTGGTTTCTCCCTTCCATCATGGGCTCTAGGTCTGAACTGCTTTAGATCTCGAAATTGGGTGAGGAACTGTGGTTTTTCATTACCATGACTGATATCAGCCTTCTTGCCAGTTCTCAGTATTTTTTTTTAGAGGCAAGGGGAACAGTTATACAAGTCAAATAACATTCTTATCAGCTGTCCTTCTATCTTGCCCTTTGCAACATCATGAACTTAACCATATTCATAGATCCATGCCTTGAACTTAACCATATTCATAGATCCATCCATTTAGTGTTGTCTGGGCCTTCCCAGGGAAAAGTCAGGTGGGTAGCTTTTCTAGTTTCAAACAACAAATCCATTCTAACATTTCCACTTCCTTGAGCTTCCTGATCCCATCCCTTAATACCATGAGAAAGAATACTTTCTGGCATTTACACCCTATCTTCTTACGGTGTTTTAGGACCAACTCTAGACATCCTTCCCAGAGCATTAAATCATGTGTCATGAGTGATCCCATGTCACCCTCTCCTATATTCCACCCCCAGCTCATGTCTTGATTCAACACCCTCAAGATCTACTCCCAGACATGCTTCCTGGGTTCCTGCCAATACATTTTAACCAGAATCTATAGATCATTCAGAACAAACCCTATCCTCCTAGAGGAAACACTGTATTTCCCAACTTGTGGTATGCTGAGACCTAATCCTAGTTATTACTTCAGAATCAATGAAAAGTAGCAGGGAAGGTCTTGAGAAGGACAAGTGTCACCTTGTGATGCAACTGCCTCAGATAAAGCCTTTGCAGAATCTCAAGGCAAGAGCAGGTTATTCTCCTCTAGAAAATAGGAAGATGCTGCTTGAGCCAGCTCAGGGGTTCAAGGAAACCAAATGTCCCCATCCCATGATTTAGGGTTCTAGTGTTTTCATATCTGCTCATTGACTTTGTTGGAGAATATAGAGGCTGTGCATTCAGTCTCTTTTGCAGCCTTGCCACCTTACTATTAGATTAGGACCTGATCATCAAAAGTCTGCCTTGCATCTGCAGGAAATGAAAGTTTCCTTAAAGAATGCTGCAGACGGACTCTGGCTTTCACAGCATGACTTAAGTGGCTAACATAAGCCTATGTCATTTTCTTTTTTTAAGGTTTCTAAAGCACTAAGTAACCAAAACCTCAATCTTTATAATTTCCATTACTCCCATTCCAGTGTAATGACACAGATACTGCACAACCTAACACTTCATCTGTAACCTGCATGTCACCTATATCCATGGCAGTCACTGATTCAGTTACAGAATCCCATCCTCAGCATTCAAAGGCTTCAAAGGCATCAAACAGCTTCAAAGGCTGTTTCTAGTACCAACCATCTTATCCTGAGTTTACGCCCTTCCCAAAAGCAAAGCCTAACACAAATGTTCTCATCTGGGTAATTTATTTGGGAAGTGATCTGAGGGAATGAGAGGGAGAGATGGAGGAATGGAAAAGGTAAAAAGAGAAAGCTACCATAAGGATATATTATTGAGTTGGCTACTGCTATGGGGGGCTGGTGCTAAATGCCATGGGATTTTCTGAGGAACCTTATGAAATGCATTTCAGAATTGTCTTCCCAGCAGACAGAAAGGCAGGGCTTCCTTCTTATTATCTACTGGCTTTCAAGGATGGCCCCAAAGTCATTAGCTCCTCCACATCTTTAGGCAGCACATGTATGATACAGTGGAGCTTCAGTGGACACTCTAAGCCACAGTGTCAGAGGATCCCTGCAAAAGCAAGCAAGAGAGCCATGACATGGGCCCAAGATAAGACACCACCAAATGGCTTCTGAAGCTGTCAGAAACCTGCCTGGAAATGTTTCAAAGCAGTATTAGAATAGGAGGTGGGGCCACGAAGATTTACAGTGGCACACAAGAGGCACCCAATACAGTTATAGACAATGATAGTTAACAATACAACGTAAAAGTCTATAGATCACTAGAAAATGGTTGTATAATTTTAAAATATTAGTTTTTAATTTAAAAACACAGATTAACATTACAAAATTTGAAAAATTTAAAATAGTAATTTTAACTTATTTTTTCCTTTTTTTTTGACAGGGCCTCACTCTGTTGCCTGGGCTAGGGTACAGTGGTGTAAGCCTAGCTCACAGCAACCTCAAACTCCTAAGCTCTAGCAATCCTCCCACCTCAGCTTCCCGAGTAGCTGGGACTACAGGCACACACCACCATGGCAAGACGAATTTACGATTTTGAATGAAAAAGTGGTCCTTATGTATTTATTCAAAACCCTGAATAGCATCTTTAATTTTTTAAATAGCCTGAAAAAGTTAAAGATATACTGAAAATATTTACTATATTTTCAGGTTTTGACTCATAAAAACAATCTCATTTGTTAGGAAAGAGAAAAAATATATACAAAGTCATTAATGGGGAACAAAAGTAATAGAAGGCATTTTCACTTTAATAAATTAGGGAAACATGAAAAAGACATTTATACAGTAAATAAAGTAAATTAATTTGAGAGAAAATAAATTGTAGTATTACATTTAAATAAACATGAAAATGATATATTTGCATGGTGCTTTTAACTTCTGCAGTAGTCTTCATGAAGGTTTTGCAGAAGATGGCAATGGAGCTTTTCCTTTCCGCTTAGCAGCCTTTTCCATTTTTATCTGTAAAATTTAAAATATTTATTGATATAATAATTTGTAAACCATTCTAAAGAAAAAAAGGTTGCATTAACCTCATTTGGACTCATGTCTTATTTAACACAGCCCTTCCTCAAATACTGAAGCCAAAATCTGATAAAGGGACACAATTGCATATTTTTAAATGGTTTGATTTTAACTTTACAGAAGCATTTTAATAAAAATAACATATAAATGAATATTGCTTTAGACAAAAGAATAAATTAGTTTCAACTGCTACTAAAATTAAAAATTAATAAAAAATTTAAATGCCTAACTTTATATCCAATCTATTCACATTCCCTACAAAGTTACAAAATGCACCTAATCCAGCTGGGTTATCTCTGAAACAGACTGCTTTAAGGATGCTTTCCTATAACTCTGGTTTCTGCATTCCACAGTTACCTTCCTGAAGGTCTTGTCCTCCTCCATTATAGTTAAAGCAAAGCAGCAGCACACATACCCCAAGCTGTGGCCTTCTAACTTTTTAGACTAATATAGACCTTTTCCATGGGATTCAAGACCCCAGAGAACATAAAGCCCACCTGTCTCTGACCCACCACCACTCACGTTCACACACACCAATTTCCAGAGGCAGCACCACTGCCTTACCCCTGCAAGAGAAGGGGAGAGAAAATAAGGCGAATGGGTAGAGACAGGGCCTCCTACCATCTACAGGAATAATACCAAGAAACCAGGAGAGACCTTGTAAAACCAGTCTACTCAATCCTATCAAATTGCAAGTAATAAAAATTTCTAGAGTAACCTGTCTCTTCCCCATTTTTTCCCTCTCCTCTTTGAGTTGATTGGGAACCTCATTCAAAAACACTCATGATATACATATCAAATATCATATATATGTATCAATACCTACTTCTCAGCATTGTTCTAAAGGTATAAGATTAAATATATATATATAATATATAAAGATCTAAGCACTAAACAAATGCTAGTCCCTTTTCCCCTCTCATTTAAGCCCAAGTGTTAGATTTGTAATAACATCAATAACAAAAAAAGCAAAGATGCTAAACAACAAAAGCCAAAGCTGTGTTTGCTCATTTGAAATAGTACAAAGATGAATAAAATACTATTCTTATCCCTAAGGCATTTATACTCTGGTGGAGAACTGATGAAGATGAACATTACTTAAAGCTGTGAACACATCAAAACTATAGTTGTTGAACCCTGGAAGCAGTTAAAATATGTCTGTGTTTAGTATTCTGATTCTTAAAGGCTATTGGGTAATTTTAACTTGAGTCAGGATATACCAAAAAACCTCTGAGAAGAAGAAATGATATAATACATATTAAGAATTCAAAATATATTCAATCTTAGACAATTAAATTTTTTAAAATAAAAAAATAAAGGTACATGTATTAAAAAAAAGAACTCAAGATACATACAATTTACAAATCTGATGGTTGATAAATGTTAATAATTTTATTTTTGTATTCAGTCAATGTTTACAACCTTCATAATCAACCAGTGTATTATATATATTATTCATGAGTCCTGTTTCTGTCTGAATTATTGCAAATAAGCCTCAAAGCCTAACACCTACATATTACTTTCAATGATGTTCCACATTCAATATGTAATAATTCTATAGTGTTTTTGTTACAAGTAAATGCTTAATGCAAATGGATTTCCTTAAAAACCTACCCTCTCCTGGTATCGTCTTTCAAAGAAAGTCATATCATCTTCTTCAGGTCTCCTTAAGGAAGAAACTTGACTACTTGTACCTGCTAACAAGGAAAACAAATCTATGTATTTATGTCATTATATAGTTCCTTGAAATAAAAAACAGAAAGAAAAGTCTCCTCCTGGCAGGTGATAATGTTTTGTTTTTCAAACCAGAAATGGCCTAAATAAATATCTGGTCCTACTATCTGATTCTTTTTTAGAAAGAATGGCATTATAGGACAAAAGTAATTTTCATTGGCAAACATTCTTCACATATTCAATGGCTCATATTAAATAATGCCACATAGGTATTTCATAAGAGTACACTTAGTTTTCTCCAACTACTTTTTACATTTTATAACTAGAAATCCATGTTCTACTTTATGAGGTAATGCATAGAATTATTGAGGCTTTATACAGGCAACCATAGTGATGATACTACCTGCTTCAAACTTTTTCAAAACTAAAACATTTTAGCCACTTTGCATGATATTCACTTTGTAAAACTAATCAAACACTAGTGGAATTTTAAAATGCTTCAGTAGGAAAAACCTGGTTTTCTTGTCAAGAGCCTAGCTCATGGAAAAATTCACCTTCATTGCTGGTGAATGTCTTCATTGGGTCCTTTCATTTCCAAAACAAAATGTCAATATGCACACCTGTTCTTCTAGTTTCTAAAGCATTTGAATTCGTCCTCAATCAACAACATAAAGACATATAACTCTAGTCCAGGTGCAGTGGCTCACACCTGTAATCATAGCACTCTGGGAGGCCCTGGCAGGAGGATCGCTCAAGGTCAGGAGTTCAAAACTAGCTTGAGCAAGAGCAAGACCCCGTCTCTACTAAAAATAGAAATAAATTAATTGGCCAACTAAAAATATATAGAAAAAATTAGCCAGGCATGGTGGTGTGTCCCAGCTACTTGGGAGGCTGAGGCAGGAGGATGGTTTGAGCCCAGGAGTTTGAGGTTGCTGTGAGCTAGGCTAATGCCACAGCACTCTAGCCTGGCCAGGCAAAAGAGTGAGACTCTGTCTTGGGGAAAAAAAAAAAAAAAAGACATATAACTCCAGACAATCATCATGGACTACAACCATACTTTGTTGACTATCTTTAACAAAAGCCTTATTGAGAAAAATAAAATAAGAAAGCATGCTTAGATATGTGCTATCTATCCATTCCTCTGGAAACTCTGGGTCTATCCCTGGATCATGTTGGGCCAATTGAGCTAAGCTTCTTGCAGACTTACTTTCACTGCATTGCATTTTAATGATATAGTACCATTTATCTGGTGAAATGGTATATTACCACTCTTATCAAAGGTGACTATCAGAAACAAGGAACCATCTGCTGTATTTGCTTAAAAAAAAAGGTTGTGAGGACCTTGGCCACTGCATTGTTGAAAGTCACTATACAGACTTCTTTAAAATCCAGCATTTATCTAACTTTCATTAGCATTAAGGAACTCAGGCTTCCTCCCTTCTAATACGGCAAAGTGTTTAAATCATTGCACCTTCCTCTGCTTCTTGGCCACCACTGTATTCAGTCAAAACTGAAGCTTAATGAAGCAATTATATCAACCTTGAAAGTGGCCATAATTGTGTTCTTTTTCTTGGTTTTGGTTTCTTATTTCTACCTACATTTTACCATTACATATTTCACTGTATGTTGTTTTTGCAAGCAGCCTTACAATCCCTTGTGAAGAATGCCAACATACGCAAATACAGACAAATCAAAGAAAATTCTCATCTAAAAGTATTTTAAAATATCAAATACCTAATAGACCATACAAATTCTTTCTTTGATGTTTTTATTCTTGTTTTCAATAAAGGAAATATAGAATACTAGGTGCTTAAAAATGAGTTCTACTTGCTCTTAATTTATAAATGATAAAACTCTGCTAACCTATGGTTGTCAGTGGATTACACCCCTTTGGGAGGACCCAAAGGCAGCTGGTCCATTAGAGGGCCCTCTTATTCAAACACTGGAGCAACAACATACACCAGAATAAGGTTTAAAACTTCAAATTATATAGAATATTATCAGAATACTCAAAATTCTCAGATTTAGTTATATGTCCCGATATGAAATGAAGCTGCTTGCTTTTTCTCAGTGTCTGGCTAATGTAAAACAAAGTAAAATGACAGATTTACTTGAAGTCAAATTGTGGGTAATAATGGAAAAATGAGAGAAGCCTATAAAACAAATCAAAACTCTACATTCTAACTTACTAGGCCCAAAAATATTTCTCAATTTAATTTCATTACCATCTGTTAATGTTTCCGGAGAAGAAATAGATGGTGCTTGAAATGCTTTTAGAAATGGGTGGTCCATGGATGTAACTGGAGATTCTAAAAGTTCAACTGAAGGTACACCTGAGAACAAAATATATGGAGAAGGAAAATTAAATATCTGTTTAAAAGGCTACAAATGTGAAATAAATTGGAACCTCAGCAGAATCACCAGAAAATCATTTCCACAAAAAAGAAATTTTTATTTAGATTTTTGTCTACCATATAAAGTAAAGGCAAATAAGTAAACGTGCATTTCTCAGCACATTTCTAAGACCTTTTTCACAGGAAAAAAAAATATTATTCACTAATGTAATTATATGTCAAAACAGAGGTACAAAACCCTAATACAGTATAACATTATCAAAAATTAGACATTCGCAATAAGGAACTTCTGGTTGAAGAAGGTAGAATAAGTGTATTTTTACTCTGTTCCTTACTAGGAAACCACCTACAGAGAAAGTGTGAAAAATAAAACAAACAAGCTCTTTCTTCACCAAAATGAGAAACATCCACAACCCCAAACCACAAAGACCAACTGCTAAAAACACTAACTTTGGGGACCAAAAGGAAGGAAGTTGCAGAGAAAATGTATAACTGTTCTATCAATTTCCAACTCTGCGGTAGACAAAAAAAAGAAAAAAGTAAAATAACTGTTCTATCTTCTTCACAAACCACCACCTTCCCCACACCCCTATCCCCACCACACAGGTAGAGGGAAAGAAAAGAACTTTTAGTCCTAATTGGTTTAAAAGTCAGTCCTATCTTATAATGTAAACAGTGTGGGACAATTGCTTAGTCTTTCCCTCTTCCATCCCAGCTACTCTCTCATAGGGCGTGTGGGAATATAAGAGAAGGGGCTCAGGCCCACTGAGGTTCTTGTGCTACTCTCTGGTGGCTGCTCCTGATCTCAAATGCTCCATGCTGGTGTAACTTGCAATTTGGTCTCTCAGCCTGACAGGGGCTGGTAGCCTCACCCCTGCTCTCACTAGAAATATAGATCCCTTCGATGCCTGTCAAGTCCCCTATTGAATCACCCAGCTCAGGGCACCCACCTCTCCAGCTCTGCTCTGCGGTCATCTTACCCCTGCTATGACAGAAGCCATAGGAGGCCCACTGCCTCCCAGCTCAGCTGCCTTCCCAGCACTGGCTCAGAGCTGGGAATTATGGATTCCTTACACAGCAAAAAGGAACTCAATTCCAGCAAGAGGTCATCGCTGTCTAGGTATCTATGTGGCTAATACAACTGAAGTCCCTCTGGGCTCCTCTAACACCTGAAATCGGGACATAAATGTCTTATGTTTCCTCTGCTCACTCTCAACTTTCATCACCCTACCTTCTTTTGGGGCACAAAAGGGGGAGGTTTTCCTTCTTTATAGACTCATGTATCACAAAGGACATTTCAGTCTCTTAATTTCAAATTATAAAATATAGCTGTTGGCCGGGCCGCTGTGGCTCACGCCTGTAATCCAGCTCTCTGGGAGCCGAGGCGGGCGGATTGCTCAAGGTCAGGAGTTCAAAACAGCCTGAGCAAAGAACGAGACCCCGTCTCTACTATAAATAGAAAAGAAATTAATTGGCCAACTGATATATATATATAATTAGCCGGCATGTGGCGCATGCCTGTAGTCCCAGCTACCCCGGGAGGCTGGAGGCAGAAGGATCACTCAAGCCAGGAGATTGAGGTTGCTGTGAGCTAGGCTGACGCACGGCACATCACTCTAGCCTGGACAACAAAGTGAGACTCTGTCTCAAAAAAAAAAAAAAAAAAAAAAATATAGCCTGTAATATCTAAACTAAATAAAACATCACATTCTCAAGACTACAACAGGTTTTGAAAAGCTACTTTATAATCATTACACTTATTAAGTCTAATGTTTTCTTCTTTCAGAGATCTGAGTTCTTATAATTAGAATGAAGCTCCTATTCTATAAACACAGCCTGAGTTCCTTGTCAATGGTTCATTAAACATGCTATTTCTTAATTCTTAGAGTAGGTCTACAGAAGACAAATCTTCCCACTGTAACCCCAAATGTTTTTTTCCTCTACATTTAATTTGCTGTCAGTAAGTAGCTTTTTTTTTTTTGGAAAACTCCTTCCTTGATGAGAAAAATTACTTTCCACATGCAGGATCAAAATATAAAGGTAACAGTATCATGAGACGAATTCCTTACAGACCCATATACACATTTTTATTTCTTGCCCCTTGCTTTTATGTAGTTGCACAGTTACAGGCAGAATGGACATAAAACAGTATCATTCTTACTTTTTTTTTTGAGACAGAATCTCATTCTGTTGCCTGGGTTAGAGTGCCAAGGTGTCAGCTAGCTCACAGCAACCTCAAACTCCTGGGCACAAGCAGTCCTCCTGCCTCAGCCTCCCGAGTAGCTGGGACTACAGGCATGCGCCAACATGCCCAGCTAATTTTTTCTATATATATTTTAGTTGTCAGCTAATTTCTTTCTATTTTTAGTAGAGACAGGGTCTCACTCTTGTTCAGGCTGGTCTCAAACTCCTGAGCTCAAAGGTTCCACCCGCCTCGGCCTCTCAGAGTGCTAGGATTACAGGTGTGAGCCACCACGCCTGGTCCATTCTTACTTGTAATTCCTATGTTGTTATTCCGCTATAGAAATGAATTCGGTTATTATACTCAAAGCTTACACTGTTATCTGACTTATTGGAAAATATGTAAAAATAATGATATTATGGCTTTTCATATGTTTATAGTCCATAAACATTCATTTTAATTTTAAAAAAAGACATTTCAGGCCAGGCGCGGTGGCTCACGCCTGTAATCCTAGCTCTCTGGGAGGCCGAGGCGGCAGATGCTCGAGGTCAGGAGTTCGAAACCAGCCTGAGCAAGAGCGAGACCCGTCTCTACTATAAATAGAAAGAATTAATTGGCCAAACTAATATATATAGAAAAATTAGCGGGCATGGGGCGCATGCCTGTAGTCCCAGCCACTTGGGAGGCTGAGGCAGAAGGATTGCTTGAGCCAGGAGTTTTGAGGTTGCTGTAGCTAGGCTGACGCCATGGCACTCACTCTAGCCTAGGCAACAAAGTGAGACTCTGTCTCAAAAAAAAAAAAAAAAAGACATTTCAGTCAACAACTGACCCCATATATAATCATGTCCCAGGAGATTATAATGGACCCACACTATAAATGTGTATCATTTTTTTATCTGTTACACTGTGTTTTTATTGTACCTTTTCTATATTTAGATATGCAAATACTTCCCACTGTGTTACAACTGCCTACAGTATTCAGTACGGTAACATACTGTATAGCTTTGTAGCCTAGGAGCAATAGGCTATACCATTTAGGTTAGTGTAAGTATACATTTGATGTTGGCACAATGATGAAATCATCTAAGGCACATTTCTCAGAATGTATCCTCCATCATTAAGTGGCACATGGCTGTACTATGAAGATCCTCGAGTGATAAATTACCAGAAGTCACAAAAAGTCAAAGAAGCCAGCTATTACCTCTACTTTTTGTTTTTGTTTTTTAAGAGACAGATTCTCACTATGTTGCCTGGGCTAGACTTGAAATCCTGGGCTCAAACGATCCTCTCATCTCAGCTTCCCAAGTAGCTAGGACTAGAGGTACACGCCGCCACATCTGGCTTACCACTATTATTTAGCATTGCTCTGGAAGTGCTAGCCATTTTGATTAGTCAAGAGTAAGAGGGGCCGGGCGCAGTGGCTCACGCCTGTAATCCTAGCACTCTGGAAGGCCAAGGCGGGCGGACTGCTTGAGGTCAGGAGTTCAAAACCAGCCTGAGCAGGAGTGAGACCCTGTCTCCTACTATAAATAGAAAGAAATTAATTGCCAACTAATATATATAGAAAAATTAGCCGGGCATGTGGCGCATGCCTGTAGTCCCAACTACTCAGGGCTGAGGCACAGGTTGCTTGAGCCCAGGAGTTTGAGGTTGCTGTGAGCTAGGGTGACGCATGGCACTCCTCTAGCCTGGGCCAACAAAGCCAGACTCTGTCTCAAAAAAAAAAACAAACAAAAAAATAAGTAGGAATAATAAATATTGGAAAGGAAGAGGGCAAAATATCATTATTTATAAAATAAACTAAAAATTTAGTAAAACTCTAAGATGAATAAGAGTGATAACAAAAACAGCAGAAAATTTATTTTATAAACAAACAATAATCAGTTAGAAACTATAATTTTAAGAAATCTCATGTATTATACCTATAAAAAAACATTAAATACCTAGAAATAAACCTAAGAATTGTATAGGACTTCTGGGAAGACAACTTGAGAAGTCTACTTTGCTGTACAGAAGGCAAATAAATGAAGAGACCATATTTTAAAATATCAATTATTTCTACATTAATCTACACATTCAATACAATCTCAAAACAGTAAAGTTCTATAACTTCACAAAATAATGTCAAAGTTTTAAAAGAATTAAAAGAGTAGGCCAAGAAAATTCTGAAGTAATAAAATGTCATAAATATTTATTTATTCTAAAGCTTCAGTAATGAAAACAGCAGAAATATGGTAGCTGTACAGAAATAGACAACAGTGAGATAGACTAAGGAGCCCAGAGCAATCTTTGGGTTGAACCCAACCCTCCTACTTACTAGCTGAATAACACAGAGCAAGTTATTTTACTGCTGTGTGCTAAGTTTCCTCGTCTATAAAACAGGAATAATCATCTAACTCAGAGAGCTGTGGTGAGTATTAAATGAGGTAATACATGTGAAGTGGCTGGAACAACTACCCGCAATAAAAAGCTACAATCATCATCAACATCATCATTATCATATTTTGCCACTGGTAATTGGGTTTTCCGTAACTGTTGCATGAGCCTAATACAATTATACACCCATGAAAACTGTACAATAATTTATTTACGGAATTTAACAAACAAATTGAAAAATCACCTAGAAGAGAAAATGCACAAAAAAATCAAGACAATCTTGAAAATTATCACAAACAGGAGGAATTTATCATACCACATATCAAAACACACCATGAAACTATAATAATAATAAATATATAACATGGACAGGATAGACAAATAGGCCAATGGTATAAAATACAGAGTAGGATAGAATATGATAAAAATTTCCAAATATTTAGGAAAGAATGGTGTTTGGATAACTGGCCATCAATTTGGACAAAAACTGAAGTTAGACATACCTACCTCACACTTTTAGAAAAAATAAATTCCAGATATATGAAAAAGCTAAACATAAAAACTTAAGTATTCGCCTGTAATCCTAGCACTCTGGGAGGCCGAGGCGGGAGGATTGCTCAAGGTCAGGAGTTCAAAACCAACCTAAGCAAGAGCGAGACCCTGTCTCTACTATAAACAGAAAGAAATTAATTGGCCAACTAATATATACAGAAAAAATTAGCCGGGCATGGTGGCGCATGCCTGTAGTCCCAGCTACTCGGGAGGCTGAAGCAGGATTGCTTGAGCCCAGGAGTTTGAGGTTGCTCTGAGCAAGGCTGACGCCATGGTACTCACTCTAGCCTGGGCAACAAGCAAGACTCTATCTCAAAAAAAAAAAAACTTAAGTATTAAAATAAAATGAAGGAGACTATATTTATAAAATTGAAACAGGGAAGGCTTGTCTCCAAAATGTAAGATGTGTTCAAAAAAACTGTTTTTAAAGATTAAAAGACAAGTGATAGATTGGGAGAAAATGTCTGCAAAATAAACAACAAAGGATTAGTATACAGAATATATTAAAAGACTTCCTGTAAGTCAATGAGAAAAGATAAAAACAGAAAAATGAGCAAAAGATATGAACAGGCAATTCACAGAAAGTGAAATGGCCAATAAATGTGAAAGATCCTCATATATCACTAATACCCAGGGAAATCAAACAAAAACAATAACAATTTCACACACTGGAATGGCAAAATAATCAAGTTTAGGTGGCAAGAAAAAAATAATAATAATCAAGTTTAATATTATCAGTCATTAGCCTAAATGTAAGGGAAATAGGTAAGCCAAAACATCACTAGAAGAAGTAAAAACAGGTACAGTGTTTTGAAGGCCATTTGGTAGAATGTATTAAAATTTTACATGTTAACACACTTCAACCCAAGAATTTTACTTCTGTCTACTTCAGAGTCAAATTTATGCAAAGATACAAAGAGGCAAGCTGAAAGATTTTCTTGGAAAGATTGTTTGTAATGGCCAAAAATAAAAAACCTAAATCCCACTAACAAGTAAATAAACTGTGTTATCTATAATGTGGAATACCGTGCAGCAGTTAAAAAGAATGAAGTACATTTGTGTCATGACATAATAGGCCTTCAAACTTTCTCTAAGTTTAAAATAAATAGTAAAAATGTATGCTAGGCTAGGTTTCCATATCCATCGGTTCTGCACTCATATATTCAGCCAACCACAGATTAAAAATGTTTTGGAGGCCAGGCATGGTAGCTCACCCCTGTAATCCTAGCATTCTGGGAGGCTGAGGTGGGCGGATCGCTCAAGGTCAGGAGCTCAAAACCAGCCTGAGCAACAGCGAGACCGTCTCTACTAAACATAGAAACAAATTAATTGGCCAACTAAAAATATATAGAAAAAATTAGCCAGGCATGGTGGTGCATGCCTGTAGTCCCAGCTACTCGGGAAGCTGAGGCAAAAGGATTGCTTGAGCCTAGGAGTTTGAGGTTGCTGTGAGCTAGGCTCACGCCATGGCATTCTAGCCCCGGCAACAGAGTGAGACTGTCTCCAAAAATGTATGTTAAAAAAAACACAATGTATGTTAAAGAAAAAAAATAAACTGATGATAGCAAATTAGCCTCTAGGAAAGAATCAGGGAAAAAGAAGTGTTCAAGAGGGCTTTCCACTTCACTTCTATTGTTTGAATCTTTTATAAGAATATATATATCTGTATTTATCTCATTTCTTAATTAAAAAAATACATGCTTGTTGTAAAATTTTAAAAAATCTTCACACACAGAAATGTTTAAAGTAGACAAGGGGGCTGGGCATGAGCCCGTAATCCTAGCACCCTGGGAGGTGGAGGTGGGAGGATTGCTTGAGCTCAGGAGTTCAAGACAAGCCTGAGCAAAAGCCAGACATCTCTACTAAAAATAGAAAAAATTAGCCAGTCAACTAAAAATGAAAAAATATTAGCCAGGCATGGTAGCGCATGCCTGTAGTCCCAGCTACTTGGGAGGCTGAGGCAGCAAGATTGCTTAAGCCCAGGAATTTAAGGTTGCTGTGAGCTAGGCTGCCGCCATGGCACTCACTCTAGCCCGGGCGATAAAGCGAGACTCTGTCGATAGATCGATAGATCGATAGATAGATAGAAAATAAAATAAACAAGGGAACATTCTGCTTCTAATCCCACTCAATTCTCAGAAGGATATGGCTACCTTCAATAATTCAGGATATATCCTATTAAACTTTTGCCTGTAATTTAAAACTTTCATGTATGCAAGAAGATATATGTGTGTGTACACATACTTTACTAGATGTGGTTACACATACATACATGTATGTTCACAAACATACATGAACATATGCCTATTATTTCGAAAATGAGATGGATATTATAGCAAAAACTGTGTGTAGTAGGGTAAGGGTAAACTACCATATCAAATAAGAGAAATATTCAGCTGTTACAAACAATGGAGATGTGGACTGGGATTTGAATACAAGTATTGCAGTAGGAGTGATCTTTTCCCTGTGTTCTCTATATTTTCTATGACAATATATTGCATAGTGACAGTAAAACATTTTTTTAAGAATAAAAATCAAATGAAAGAATGTTTCCTGAAAAAAAAATGATGACTGTAAAGTGATTAACAACTATAAGGCTTCACTATTGTTAGCACACATAAAAACAATATGATAATCACAACGAGTAAGATGTGCAACATTTGGAGGATGGACACACTTGAAGCTCTTACACGGGGCGGGGGGGCATGGGCAATATATGTAACCTTAACACTTGTACCCCCATAATATGCTAAAATAAAAACATAAATAAAATAAACTGAAAAAAAAATACAATCTCACACTTCATATATCATCATCACTTACCGATTCCACTGTCATCTAATCGCATGTAGCCTTCTGCCAGTGAGCTGAAACCAGTTAATCCTCCCATGGCTGCGTAAGGAACATCTCGTCCCACTGGTTTTCCTTGAGCCAGTCTTTCTTGCTTAGTTTCCACTACTGTGTCATGGGCATATGCAGGCTGACCACAAGCACAAGTGAAGCAGCTATGGAATCCTGAACACTTGGAACCTGAATGAAGCAAGACGTAAAGGGAATTAAATATTTTTAAATGTAGGTACTAAGCTGTCTACCCTAAAGCCACTTAGCTTGGCCAAAGCCAGCTAAATCTAGATCCTCTAGCCTCTATAACTCTTATCTCCAGCTCCTGAACTTCCCACCAGCAAGTGCTCTTACTTCTGAAATATGCTAATGTGGTAAGGGGGTATATCACAGGAAAAGAAAAATGGAAAAACCAACTAGGACAAAAAGAATTTGTGTTGAACACTGAAGATCCTGGAAATGCCAGGCCTTCTCCTCAAAAATTGAGTTAAAACCAGTTGTGGCAGCGTCAGCCAAGTGGCCAGGATCAGGTGAAGAGGTAATATATTATAGAAACCTCCCTTCAGATCAACTCCCCATGAAAACCATATTGGAAGGCCTATCCATGGACACAGAAAGGATACAGTGGAATACTGTTCAGCAATAAAAAGGAAAGAAGTACTGATACATGCTACAAAATAGATGAATCACGAAAACATTATGCTAATTAAAAGCAGCCAGTCACAAAAGACCACATATTCTATGATTCCATTTATATAAAATAGCCAGAAAAGGCAAATACATACAGACAGAAAGTAGATCACTAAGTGCTCACTTTGGCAGCACATATACTACAAAGTAGATTATTGGTTACCTATAGCTGGGGGGAAGGAAAAATAGAGAGTTTCTTCCTGGTGTAACAAAAATGTTCTATACTTTATGGTATAAAGTTGGTACTTTATGGTATATGGTTGCACAACATTCACTCCGATTGATATATTAAAAACCATTAAATTGCATATTTTAAATTGTCAAATTTTATGGTATGTAAATTATGTCTTAATAAAGTTGTTATATAAAAAAACAAGCCATATAGGAAGGGAGGCCAGAATAAACCATTAACAAAATCTTTACCCACTTGCAACTTTGACAAATGTGTACAGGAACCAAGGCACACAAGTCTTATCCAACTACTTCCATACTTAGCCAATGAAACACTTTTATTCCTACCACTGTCATGAAAAACGTTTTGTTATCTATTTCATTGTAAGATTTCAACTCAAACTGCTACAAAAACAATTCTAATAAACTATCTCCTGAAGGAAACTGATCCATACCCTACCTATTTCCAAAGGCTTTTAAAATTATGATCAAATGAAAGGGCATATGGGGTGGAGGTCGGGATTTGGGTCCAGGTACTGAGGTAAGGGTGCTATTACATACACAGCATTCCAGTTATCATGTTATACTTTGTTTTTCCCATCAGCCTATATTTTAGGCAATAACATTATAATCTGTTGGCAAATTATAAAAAATTTTTCACTTATAAAATCCCTTTAAAAAATCTACAAATAGAAGTTAGTTGATTAAACTCCCACTATTCAAAAATTTGAATCAGGTTACATCTAGTGATTCTTTAAAATCTATTACTTAAGTTATTTGAACTACATGAGACTAGAGTTTATGATTACCAAACATAACAATAACTCGAGTTTTTCCACAAAAACATATATCCACTGAATTTTCCTTATTTAACAATTGACTCTATAACGGAATAAAATTGGTACAAAGGCAATTAAATATTCAAGGAAGAAATAAGAACACTTCGTGTTGGTGCATTTATAATAACAAAACTCACATGCGTTGCATGCAAAGCCAGGCGCAGCACTATGCTGATCAGCAAAGTGCTTGCATCTGCAGCGAATGGGCTGAGTGCCATTCAAAGGGACATACAGGTAAGCCCTGCACTGGCAGCCAGTCACCCGGCAAGGCAGATCAATGGGGCGCTGCTCAGGAATAGTTTCAAAGTCAGTTTTATGTTGTTTATACCTTAAGAAAAAGAAACAAACAAACACAATGCAGATATTACCAAAAATTACAATTTCTAATTTCAATTCTGTTCAATGCAAATATGACTATTTTTTACTTTTATTCTTTCTTTTTACTTTTATTCTTTCGTATTCTTGTTAGTAAAGTGGAAATAAACCCCTCTACATGCAGTATCTCTGTCAGGTATGTTGCTTCAGTTAGAGGAAATCTTTACTCTTTCAGATTTTTATTTTTAGTTATTTAAGAAGTTGTTTCATAGGGTAGGTGCGGTGACTCACACCTGTAATCCTAGCACTCTGGGAGGCCCAAGTGGGAGGATCGCTTTAGCTCAGGAGTTAGAGACCAGCCTGAGCAAGAGAGAGACTCTGTCTCTACTAAAAATAGAAATAATTAGCCGGGCATGGTGGCACATGTCTGTAGTCCCAGCTACTTTGGAAGCTGAGGCAGAAGAATCGCTTGAGCCCAGGAGTTTGAAGTTGCTGTGAGCCAGGTTGACGCTGTAGCACTCTAGCCTGGGCAACAGAGCAAGACTCTGTCTCAAAAAAAAGTTGTTTCACAGTTATACAAAGAAATACCATATGACAGTATAACATATAATTCCCTTAAATACTTACCTTTACAGATTCTTTAATATAGAAGTGCAACCTAAGAGTATTAAAAAAAGTTATTTATAAAAATTATTTTGATCAAAGTACATTAAATTTTTTTCATAGTTTTGCTATTTACAATTAAAATAAGTTCAATAAATTTGCATTAATATAATTTATTTTAATATAATTTAATTTTTAACTTTTAACTTCAAAATAAATTATCAATATTTTTGAAAGTCAAAGCTCTTTCTTAAAGCACTGTAATTTATTTAAATAGGTCACTCACTCCTTTCTCATAAGGTGATACTTCAGTAAAATAATATTAAATTTGTTAATTCAATATTAATCTAAGAAAAGCAAGTTAAAATAACGACATTCCATTTTTCACTTAGCAAAAAGAGTCAAAGTCTTTTTTTAAACTATACATAATTAACAATGCCATCAAGAGTATTACAAAGTACCAATTCCACTCAATAATGTTTCAAGAAATTTTAAAAGATCCATTCCTTAACCCTCAAAGTTCATTTTTGGAAAATGTACCGTAAGAAAATAATTCATTAATTACATTAATAATTAGGGTTCATGAAAAATGGCATGCATAGGAAAAGTTTTGTGAATAATGATAGTATTAGCAACAGTACTTATAACAGCAACATATACGAGCCCACACACACAACATAAAGGAATGGGTAAGTAAATTACTAGACAACAGTTTTCAAACATTTTAGCAGTGAAACTCTTTCTTCAAATAAAATCTTGTACAGAACCATAATATATAAAATGGAAGGAGAATTGATTAAAGCAAGCAGAAGAGCCAGAATAGACTTTACCCTGCACCTACTCTGCCCTTCCACCAGGCACACTCCTGAAGCTCCCTCGCAGCTCTAGGGAACCCGAGATAAACACAACTAGACTAGCTGGAATATCAGGCAAGTTTTAAAAGTCTCGTTTGTGATTACTATATAACAATGTGAAACATATTTCTGTGATTCTGTCATGAAAAAAATGGCTAAATATCTTATACACATACATAATTAACAACTACTAAATGAACTACACAAAAAAAAAATCATACAGATACAGTAAAAAGTATTAACAGTAGCTAGCTTTGGGTGTTGAGTCTTCTACTTTTCTATATATTCTCCATTTCCCTTAAAAACCATGTATCACTTTTATAACAGGAAAAAAATAGTTTGGACAGAGATCCCACTGAGTGACCCATACTAAATAACTTCTCCATCAAAGTTGGGTTGGGTCGATTTTGAGGGTCAATTCCATGCTGTATGAATTATACAGAGATAAGAAACTGGCACTAAATTTGTACAAGAATTAATGATAAAACTATCACAAATTTACCAAATCCCTCTTCCATTCTGAAAGATATCAACACAGCCCTCAACTTCCGTTCCTCCTCTTAGTGTTTTTAGTTGGAGTTGCTAAACAAGTTTATAGTCAAACTATTAAATATATACAGCATTATTCACCCTAGCAACTGCTTAACAACCTTTGGCAACAGTAACTCAGTAAATAGCAACTATACAAAAAGTCTTTCATGAAAGAACTATTGGAATGGGGTGGTTCTCCTTCAACGGTTCCCTTAGAACAAAAAGTTAAAGTTGTTGCCTGAAAACATGTAATAGGTTCAGAGATTTTTCTGTGAAGCAGCTCGGTTATTTTGAATTTTACAACTGTCAGACAGTAGTACACTTTTTTTTTTGAGTCAGAGTCTCACTGTGGTGCCCGGGCTAGAGTGCCCTGGTGTCAGCCTAGCTCACAGCAACCTCAAACTCCTGGACTCAAGCGATCCTTCTGACTCAGCCTCCCGAGTAGCTGGGATTACAGGCATGTGCCACCATGCCTGGCTAATTTTTCTATATATTTTTAATCGTCCAGCTAATTTCTATTTTTTAGTAAAGACGAGGTCTCACTCTTGTTCAGGCTGGTTTCAAACTCCTGACCTTGAGCTATCCACCTGCCTCGGCCTCCCAGGGTGCTAGGATTACAGGCATGAGCCATGGCGCCCGGCCAGTAGTGCACTTTAAAGTAGAGCAACACACAGCAAAATGCAAACCTCAGATACACGCAACACACGTCAGTGACTGGAGCCTTGGGTACTTCCTTTCCTTTATGCACTTTCCTTGGAACATGGCATTGTATTTTTGTTTGTTTAAAGAAAGGTATCAACAAAGCAGTTCTTTAAGGTATGAAAGGCGATCAGTAAATTTGAGGGGAAATGCTTCTATTTGTAGATGGATAGCACGATCACTGTAGGCCAATTCAAGCAACTGTTGAAGTGGTTCTTCAGTCTGATGATCCATTCGTTCTCTACCTTGTCCAATGATGGCAGACATAGGTAGACTCTGCTCCCCACACAAACTTAAAGACCCCTGGCAAAGTCATAGGGGCACCAAAATCTTTTTTACCAATGGCAAGAAAGTTGCTTAACATAATATACTCTATGATGAGTTCTAATAAGCTATAATTGAAATGTTTAAATTACAGCTAAAAAAAGCTTTAGATAATTTCTACTGTACTGTATAAGGGCCTATTTTTAAATGTTACTCATCATAGTGTTACTTATAGAAGATATGCTTTGCTACAGCTTTGCATTTTCTAATCATCAACTTAGCAATAGAATATCTTACCTATGTGTACAAAAACACAGTGTCTCTGGGCCCACAAGTTTACAATCCATTCCAGTTGGTGACCGCCAGCTCACAAATAATCTGTTTTGTAAGCGTGTAGGTAAAACTTTTCTTTTGTATTCTTCATATTCTTCAGGAGTAAAAAGTTTCCCTCCATCGTCCTCACCAACAATTCTACAAAAAAAAAAAATATTTCTCTTAAGCCTTGAGTATTTATTTTCCAGGTTAAAAATACTAAACTATACCAGCATAGTCAAAGGAAAGGCTGCTTTTACTTTGATTTTTTTACTTTAAGCACATGGTAATAGCCAAATTGTAATAAAACTTTTGCTTCTCATGGAGTTCAGGACATGCTACCCCAAAATACAGCACCCTGGCATTTGCAAAAACAGAAGTAGGAAGGTCACTCTCATCTTCCCCTCCCTCTTCTTCTCTGAAGCATGTCATAAAACTTTTATTCCAGAAATACTCTCCCTATAGCTGGAGGAAGGGAGCATGTTTATCTTCTAAAACATGGGTACATGGAGAAGAAAATGAACAAACAGGCCTTGCTAAGTTCCCTCCAGTTTATTATCATTAGATCATACCCTTTTGTCCTTCAATCATTTTCCTCTGTGACTGTATACTCTTCATAAAATCTAAGCATAAAAATACACAGGGGCCAGGTACAGTGGTTCATGCCTGTAATTCCAGCACTTTGGAAGGCCAAGGCAGGAGGATCACTTGAGGCCAGGAGTTCAAGAGCAGCCTGGGTAATATAGCCAGACCCCATTGCTACAAAATTAAAATTAAAAAATTAGCCAGGTATGGTGGTATGTGCCTATAGTCCTACCTACTTAGGAGGCTGAGGCAGGCGGATCACTTGAGCCCAGGAGGTCAAGGTTACTAGTGAGCTATGATTAGGCTACTCCTCTCCAGCCTGGGTGAAAGAACAAGACCCTGTCTCTAAAAAATTAAAAATAAATACATAGGAGTCCCAGTTTCTTTGGATCTTCATTTTCAGAAAGTGCCCATTGTCACATAAAACTTATTTTAAATAAATGTATAACCTTTTCTCCTGTTAATCTATCTTTAGTATAGATGCCTCAGCCATGAAGCTAGTGATGACTGAGGAAAGAAATCTTTTCTCCCCTATACTTCCCATATAAAAGAGTATTATAAATAAGAAAGTCAATGAATTGATAACATCTGACTTTACAAGGTTTATCAATGGAAGATTAGCACATACTCATCTTAATTTCTCCTTTGATTCTAAAGCAAACATGCTCATTCTTCTCGTTAAAAGTTAGAGCCTAGACTGCTAAAAGTTCTAAAATTTTCCTCCTTTAAAAACAATATCAAAAAAAGTACAAAAATATCAATGCAGAAACGAACACAACTAATTTCCATGCCTGATCCCAAACTCTGGCCAGGAGTTTAAACTAATGTGGCACCTAAAAACACACCTGTATCTGAATAACCTCAAACCCACATCTGTGTGTTGGGTACTCAGGTTTATCATTGTTTAATTTCAAAAGAACTCAACATTTTATGGGAAAAATTAAGCCCCCACCATTTTCATGGAAAGAAACTAAGAGCTGACATCCCTGGAGGAAAAGAAAGCACAATTAAAAGAAGTTGTTCAAAATTGAAGACATTTCTCCTTGAAAATAGCCCCTTTAAAAGTAATGAAAAGTGTTATTTGTAGGATGCTACATTTTTGTGTGTGCCATACTTTTTTTCCATACTTTGAAGCCTCTGAGGTAGGAAATAAAAACCAGTTCATAAGCTATGAAATCATCATAACTTTCTTCCTTACATAAACGACTTAGATAAACAACAGTAAAAAACAAATAGCATTTTACTCGGAGATAAGCTTTGGGCCATTTCACTTTCTTATAGCTATCAAGAAGAATATCAACAGGTACTGGACAGATCATAAGATAAATGCAGCTCTTTAAAAGAAGAGGTCATTGGTATTTAGGTTCTAAACCAGTGTAGCTCAAATGTTATTGTAATTTTCATGAAGGAAAAAAGAAAAAAAAAAGTTATTGTGTTTACATAACACCCAGTGAACCTTGTTCAAATACAGATTAACCGGTTTGAGGTGGGCCTGACTGAGACTCTGCTTTTCTAACAAGCTCCCAGGTGATGCCTATGTCTGTGGTCCACACGTCTAGGCATTAACAGCAAGGCTCTACACTCCTCTCCCAAATCCCACCAAAGCACCCGGGCAAGACCAAATCAAGGAAAACTTTCAAGGAGAGTTTGTTTCCTTCTAGATTCATCCTTTGACCCTTACCACCACCACCAACACCACCCCTTTCATATCTAGGCACCCAAGTCCTGTTTTCCCCACTTTTCTCAAATCCTAATGCCAGTAAAAGACCTGATAATCTCTTTTGTGGGGAAGTGTTTCAGGTTATTTATGCTTGCAAAAATACTTCCCACCAGGCCTGCCCCTAACATTTTCTAGGCTAGGAAAGAGACAACCTGAGGCCCACAATCGGTCCACATACCTAAATATCTAAGTTACCAGTCAACACCTGGGCCCAGCAACTCACTCCAGAGAAAAGCCCTGGAGAACTAACTGGAGGCTAAAGGAGCGGGCTGGGCTGGGTGGTTGCTGTTCCGCCTAGCAATTTTGGGAGTTAACCTGAACCCTCCTGAACTGGCCATGGGGACTGACCCCATCCAGCTCCTCACCTTCACCTTCTCGGTTCAGAATTCTAGGCAGTTCTAAGCATTACCCAAACTACACCAGCTGGGCAGTCGGCGCCAGCGCAGTCAGCAGGGGAGCCCGCCTGCCCGGACACCCCTGGGGGATTTGGGGAGACCACTGTTAACCAGAGTGGCCTGTCTCGCTCAGGTTCCCAGGCTGAGGCACGACTGTCTCACCTCGCGTTAGAACACACACCCGCCTCGTCCCGCCTCGATCCGGCATCCTCCAGCAGCCGGTCCTCCCAGTAAATCCCATTCGCCCAGTTTCCCAACCGCCAAAAACCTCAGGCAACAGAAAAAGAACACGGCGCCTGAGGTGCAGCAGCCTCGGCCAGGGCGCAGGGCAGTGAACTGCGTCCTGTTTCTGGGCCAGTTTCTCCTAAAACCAGCACCGCGGGGTTGGGAGCACGTTCGGAAGTTTACGATTTACCCATTACGGGATTAATTTGATGTCTGCTAACTTTTATAGGTCCCGAGTACGCCAAGTGTATTTCTTCAATGGCCATTTTAAAAAAACAATTGGACCTCTGCATAAATCTAGAGCTAATAATCCTCCTTGGAAGGGCCGGGCGCGGTGGCTCACGCCTGTAATCCTAGCACTCTGGGAGGCCCAGGCGGGCAGATCGCTCAAGGTCAGGAGTTCGAAACCAGCCTGACCAAGAGCGAGACCCCGTCTCTACTATAAATAGAAAGAAATTAATTGGCCAACTAATATATATATAGAAAAAATTATCCGGGCATGGTGGCGCATGCCTGTAGTCCCAGCTACTCAGGAGGCTGAGGCAGCAGGATTGCTTGAGCCAGGAGTTTGAGGTTGCTGTGAGCTAGGCTGACCACACGGCACTCACTCTAGCCTGGGCAACAAAGCCAGACTCTGCCTCAAAAAAAAAAAAATCCTCCTTGGAAGGGAACGGAAGGACTACTTAACTGGCCTCGGAAGACTTGTTACCGAACTGAACTGCGAGTCACTGCAATATTTAATTGCAGAAAGACGAAACTTGACATGCACGTAGGCCTCCCCCAACAGCCCGGGAACCGATTCCGGGCGCCACCAGCCGTCCTCCGGCTATGGACACTGGGCCAGCCCGGTCCTCCGCCTGCGGAGCGGCGGGGATGCGGGCCGCGAGCCGCCCCTCACCTGCGGTACTCCAGGTACTCGTCCACCGCCGCCGCGCCGCCGGAAGGCAAGCTCAGCCGCTCCATGGTCGGCGGGGAGCCGAGGGCGCCCGCGCGAGCACGCGCCCCGCCGCCTGCCGCCCGCCGATTGGCCCTGATCGCCCGCCGCCCGCTGATCGCCGATTGGCCCGGCCCCGCCCGCCGCCCGCGGATTGGTCCAGCCGGCAGATCGCGGCGGGCGCGCCCAGCCTCGGCGCAGGGCGCGCGCTTCTACCTGGCCGCCCTCCGCGCCGCCTGGGGCCGCGGTTTGCCGCCGGCCGCCGACCTGACCTGTGTCGGCTTTCCCTTTCCCCGGACCCGCAAGTGTCCTTGCCAAGTTAACGAGCGTTCGGGGAGGGCAGTGCCTTGCATGTAATGGATGCACAGAAAACGGCTCTTTTAACTTAACTCATCTCTTGAAATGTAAGCGGTAGTGAGAAGGCTCTGGTTCGACTGGGGCCCGCCTCCCTCCATAACTGACAGCCTTGTTTTCCTTGTTATCGGCGTTTAAAAATTGTGATGTGAAATCGATAGTCCTGACTGTCTGCATTCCGTTTGGGTGACGCTAAAGCGATGTGCCCTTCGAAGGAAGTGAAGTAACATGGTTAAAGAGAAACAAGTAAAAACAACTTAGGTAGGGTTGTTTTTGTTAACCTTTGGAAAGACTCCACAAAATCTATTTAAAAGTTGAATTACCATGCAATTGGTAATTTGGCCATAATTTGGCTTAGCAACCTGGAAGAGGGGTAGGAAATCCATCATTAGTCCTGAGGAGTCGTTAAACAGTAAGAAAAATAATTCCCTGAACTTCAATACAGTACTTTATTTTAAAAGGGCGGTGGCTCACGCCTGTAATCCTAGCACTCTGGGAGGCCGAGGCGGGCTGATTGCTTGAGCTCAGGAGTTCGAGACCAGCCCGAGCAAGAGCCAGACCCGTCTCTACTAAAAATAGAAATTAATTGGTCAACTAAAAATATATAGAAAAATTAGCCGAGCATGGTGGTGCATGCCTGTAGTCCCAGCTACTCGGGAGGCTGAGGCAGGAGGATAGCTTGAGCCCAGGAGTTTGAGGTTGCTGTGAGCTAGGCTGACACCACGGCACTCACTCTAGCCTGGGCAACAAAGTGAGACTCTGTCTCAAAAAGAAACGTAGGGGTGGGGGCTTTTCTACATATTTCAGGTACAAACAGCAAAATATCATGTGGACAAATTGGAAACCTCCCCTGCCGGTTCATCTAAACTCCTCTTCCCTTTCAGGAGCTGTTCAACAGTCGGACAAATGAGTGGTCCTGAAATCAGGTCCTATTTTAGGGGCGATCCAGCTGAGCCCTCTCTCCAGTCATACCTGTGGTTTGCTTCTGCCTGTCCTACCTCTTCGTGAGAGCCTCGCCTTGCTTTTTGGCAGCAGCTAAACTAACAAAGATAAATAGGAGAAAACGCCAGTCTCTGTGAGCTTATAGAAGCTTATAACGTGGCAGGGGAATGTCTGTGTAGGCAAGTACAATTTAATGAGTCTAGAGGGAAATTATTATAAATAGCCTCAGTGCCATCGTGGACTCTTCCAGGAAGATGCTGGAGCAGCAAACTCCTCTGGCCAAAGAAGTCAACAAAAATAGTGGGTGTGACAAATAAGAGTATGGAACAAACTAAAAACCGTTATCCTAACCTTAGATATAAACAAGCTACCATTCAGATGACAAAACTGTGTCAGTGGTTTAGGCACATACTTTGATTAACTGTACTGCTGCTTGTCTGAGATATAATAAACTATGCTTTGGATTGGACATTTCATATTTAACGAATATGATTTCTCGGCCGGGCACCGTGGTTCACGCCTGTAATCTTAGCACTCTGGGAGGCTGAAGCAGGTGGATCCCCTGAGGTCAGGAGTCCGAAAGGAATATGATTTCTGGAGCTGTGACACCTTTGCTAATTAGAATATTGTATGGTTCTTACCTCTGCTTTAATAAATAGGTAAATTGAATTACAATTTTCCCCAAAAAATGTAGCTGAATTGATCTAGGAAGTAGGATGGGCAGAGGGAACATGAAAATTGCCTAGGCAACTATTAGAGATTTTACATATTTATTCCCCATAAAACTTTATAACATAGGAATTATCAGCATTGTGCAGTGATGGAATGTTTTCTTCTACAAATAACAGAATAATCCAACTAACAATGGCTTAATTCAACATACATTTTAATATTTTGTTACTCTAAAGAAATGTAGGGGGCCCTGCACGGTGGCTTACACCTGTAATCCTAGCACTCTGGGAGGCTGAGGCGGGAGGATCGCTCAAGGTCAGGAGTTCAAGATCAGCCTGAGCAAGAGCGAGACCTCGTCTCTACTAAAAATAGAAATTATGCTGGACAACCACATCCTGCCCCTGAAACGCTGATCGCTACTGAAACACAGCAGTGCTTCTTCACACTAACAATCCTTTCTGCGTCTGCTCCCTGAACTGGACTCGCTTGAAAACTGTATACTAGCTAATGATCCACAGCTTCGGCAGCTTTCTACTGGGGTACCCATGCCTGCCTGTAACCATTCCGCACGATGTCCAGCATCTTGAGGGGACTGTCCTCCTCAAGTAAATGCAGCTTGGTCAGTGACCTTCTTGATCAGGGGCAAAAGTCACTCCCTTTCCAAAAAAATGTCTGTATTAAGGCGGTAAACATTCCTAAATCCTCACCCTTGCAAGTCAGAGTGGAGTCAGTCTAGGAAATCCTCCATGTAACTGGTCCTCCAACAAAAGGACAGAAAAAGTCAGAGGGGTTGAGGGGGGCTTTATTGAGCCCCTCACATAGTCTTTTTTCCTTCAAAGAGATTACATGACTACTTGGACAGTACGACCCCACAAATATGACAAAATCAAAATGGACCACAGTTGGATTTCTAGGAGTAGCTTCTACTTTGACTCCCCTGTGAGGACTGCTAATAGGACCATAATCCGCATTGTAAGACCTCAGTTGAGAGAGCAAACCTCTTCCCCCTGCCTCTGCAAAAGGTGGGGTCTCTGAAAATCCAGCAGGGTTACATAAACTTCCTATACTGTTCCACCAATACGATATCCAAGACCCTAAGGCTGGTTCTGGGCCTCCAATACACATTTCACTCCACCCATCCTTTCACGAAGCCTTCTAATTGACAGCCTCTCTGAAGCTCACTGGTCCCAGGAACAACGTTACCTCATACATAAACATTCCTCCTTCACCCAAAACCCCCCCTTGATCTGCTCAAAACAACATTGAGCCTGCATTTTGTTTTGCTCATTTCGGGAATATTCAGTTTCTGTTTAACCCAAATTATTAGTAGAGACGATAGCGTCTATGCTCGCCAGATCCTTACCGAGCAGCCACGTCTCTTGGCAAGTTAGAGGTCAAAGTGTTGGCCCAGACTATAGTGAATCCTAAATATTTAGGGGCGATCCCAGCCGTTGAGCCCTCTCTCGCGCCCACGCAGCATATAACCTGTGTTGTTGCCCCTTCTGGCTTGTCGTACCTTCTGTCGTGAAGAGCCTCGGCGGCTTCAGGCTTGTGTATGGCACAGCCAGCTAAACTAACAAAGAATAAATAGGAGAACAACGCCAAAGGCTTTCTGGTTGAAGCTTATAGAAAGCTAATACGTGGCAGGGGAAATGTCCTGTGTACGGCCCAAGTAGACCAATTTTAATGAGTCTAGAGGGAAATTATATAAATAGCTCACGTGCCATCCTGTTGGACTTGTTTCACAGGAAAGATGCTGGAAGCAAGCAAACTCCTCTGGCCAAAGAAGTCAACAAAATAGGCCGGCGCGGTGGCCTCACGCTGATAGAAGCTTTCACACATTAGCGGCTTGCGTTCCATACTGAGTCATGTGCTTGCCGCGCTGTCGAGACGGCTGGAATTATAGCTCAAGGCTCAGGTGTCAGCTGGAGATATTCCAGCATGAGAGCTAGCCAAGACGCCTGACACAAGAGGAGACTGCGACCTTAACTTCCTCACACATCATGGCAGCTCTAGCACTGGTACTCCTTAATGGCGAAAATCGTCTCTCCAAACTGTAAATAGAAAGAAATTGAATCTCGACCCACAACTCAATATATATAGAAAAAAATATAGCAACGGGCCGCCCCTCGGTTGGCGCATGCTGTAAGTCCCAGCTACTCGCGAGGCTGAGGCAGGGAGGGCATCGCTTGACCAGGAAGTTTGAGCGGAGGGAATCCCTAGTCTCTGTGAGTAGCGTTACGGCTGAGTGACGGCCCATCGAGCACGTCACCTCTACAGCTTGGGAGACAAACTACAGCAAAGACACACTCCTGTTTCTCATACACATAAAAAAAAAACAAAAAGAAGTCAACACCTGTTGGGAAAAACTATTATAGTGGAGTGTGACACAATCTAAGTATATTAGTGGCGCGTACGAGAGATACATAAACAAATATCCGTATTATCTACCACCACATAACAGTCTCTTAGATACTTACCTACAAAGAACATTCACAAATTGAGTCGGAGAAAGATGTATAACTATGAACAAAACTTGAGCGTGTTCAGTGGTGTTAGGTGACATCTTTACTTCAGGAGAATAACGTCTTGTAACAAGAAGTCTGCCATATCAGCGCGTCTGAGAGAGGCATCCAATAAACACCTCAGCGGAGAGATTGACACTCTTTCGCTCACATTCTTTTCTTATACAATCTGCGAATATGATTATCTTCCGCCGGGGCACCGTGAGATCTTCCCTTGCCAGTAAGTCCTAGCAGACCCAGGTACACATAGGGATTCTCTGTAGGCATCCATGTGAAAATATGCATTTGACCTTGAAGGAGGCGTAGAGAGAGAGCGAGAATCTCCCTCCGGGTGCTGAGTGATCATAGCGAGTTAAAATCCCGAAAGGAAATAGACATCCAATTTGTTACTGGAGACTGGTGCGCAATCAACCACCTTTGCGCGCCTAATGTTACGAAGACCATTGGTAACTGGCAATCTTGAGAGAACTTATCTGCAGAGCTTACTAAATATGTAAATTGATATCATATTTTTCCCGGACACAACTATTAAATGTAGCTTGCGAATTGCGATCTACGGCGAAGTAAGGAATGG